GAATGGGGGGGAATGGAACGCGGAGACGCATCGGATCGGGTTGGGTTGGGTTGGGTTGGCATGGAAGAAAGGAAGAATGGATGGATGGAAGAAAGGAAGATGGATGGATGGAAGGAAGGATGGATGGAAGGAAGGATGGATGGATGGAAGAAAGGCAGATATACCCCAGATACTAGATAATGAATGATATATATAGCATGGCAAATTCACGGAAAGAGTTTTCGCAGCAGATTCTTCGAAGAATAGGTAGGTGGGTAGGTGGGTACTTTTTTATTTTATCTGATCTGATCTGATCTGATCTTAAAGAATGTTATCTTGTCTTGATTTTTGGTGGGAATGGATGGATGGATGGATGGGAATGTATGGGAATGTATGGGAATGTATGGAAATGTATAGGAATGTATGAGAATGTATGATTGTCAGTAAGTAAGTAAGTAAGTAAGCAGGCAAAGGTAAAACCTACAGGTTATGATTACAGAGAACATAATTTTGTTACAGACAGAGACTAAGACTTGAATAAAATGAAGTGTTCAACCGTAGAGAAAAAAGGGAAAGCTAAAATCGCTAACGTGTACAGAGGTAGCGTTTAGAGCCGGGTGTTATTCGTAGTGGAGTGTCAGTGATCTGATCTCAAGATTCCGAGAGAATTTTAAATCGTCGTCGTATTCATTCGTGGATCGGAAATCGTAAAGGGGATGTCTTGATCTTGATGGGTTGGGTTGGTCTTGATCTTGATGGGTTGGGTTGGGTTGGGTTGGGTTGGGTTATGAAGTCTGGAGAGTGGAGAGTGGAATGATTCAATGGCTGCAGGTGGAGGAGAAATTGAGTCTTGACTTGCGTTACTGCTACTGCGTATGTATTTCGATTCGTGGTTTGGTTGTTTCATCATGGAGTGGGAGTAGGGAGGAGGAGTATTTTGCGATTGCGATGAAGAGAGGGGGGGTATGTCGGTAGGTGTGCAGATGATTTTGAAGTTCATAGGAGTGTAGTGTGGGTGGTATCTGGAGGTTTTGGTTGGTTGTATGGTTGTTTGTTTGTTTGTTCGTTCGTGAGAGGTACTAGGTAGCCATCATTGATCATTGATCATTTCGATGATGTATATTTATTAATTGGCGTTGGGGCTTCCAGTTCCAAAGACTAGTTATTGTATGCTTTGTTCCCGGACAATAGATCAACACTTAGCCTTCCTTCCATTTTGAAATTTGAACTCCTCGTCCTTTTGACTCGCGTCGTTCATTCAAGGACTCATGGCATGCTTGCTCCGCCGAGTCTTCGAATCTCAACCCCGTGCTTTTTACAATATAACTATTAACTTCACAAACAGCAAGCAAAAGAAGCTGAAAAAACAGCCTCGTTATTCTCTCCAAGTCTGTTCCCATCATACATAATCAAGATTCAAGATTCGAACTCGTCTTGAAATTTGAATTGCTCGCGACTTTCTTTTGGCCGAGGACAAAATCGCCGCGGATGAATAGATGATGCTTATTCATTCCTCCAATATCGTAATCCGTAACGTGGATCTTCGAATCTCGATCACTCAGAACTAATGATCCCCAAGTTGATGGATCGTCATGTTTGTCGTGGAGAAAAATATAGGTTAAGTAGGTAGGTATTATCCCATCAAAGATTCACCTCTTCATTACTCCTCTCCGGAGACTGGAGTATAACTTCATATATGCAAATCGTCGTTCAACTATAAACTTGTTCTCCATGTCAAGAAGCTATTGCTCTACGAATACGGTATACCATGGATGATGTAATCCTTATTCATGTGACTTGCGAAATTGGTAACCTCTGGCTATGATGCGTATTCATTCTTAGGAGTCAGGCTAGACCCCGATGATAGGTCTACCATTTGTGATTTGCACTTTGCCTTGGATCTTGTCATTCGTAGAAGCATATCATAGATTTGAGTTAAGTCAAATTCAAGATAATCTTGATCCGTAGATCTCGTGATTCCTTTGTTGTCGATTTCTCAACTGGGTATTCCTCCCGCTGCTGTCTGTCTGTCTGTCTCGGTACCTATTGATTGATACACGGTCTAGGATGAGCAATTAAGGAAATTCCGATTTCAATCGTAGCCAGCATCAAACAACTCGTCTAGACCGAACACTTTTCCGGGCTTCCCTTCCTTCATGTAATCCTCAATAAAATAAGTAAATATCGAAGGAAATACCACTCAACCCATGGATGGCTTTCAGTTTGTAGAAGAAATCGAGTCGTAATCAATCCGGGGATGGAAGATGAAAGGGGTGGACTTCGCTGGAAGACATTACATATAACATGCTCACCACGAAACAGAACCTTCATCATCTTCTTCTTCTTCTTCTTCCTATATAAGGTAGATAGATATCACGGATACAAATAAAACTCTCCCGAACAAATAGGTACCTACTTGCAAGTGCAAATCCATTGGACTATATAGGCCAAAGCATACAAGCCGGCCGCATAACCCCCATCAAACCACAAATTTATATTTATACAAGTCACCCCATTAATATATACAAAGCTAGCCCACATCAAGTCTAGATTACATGCACGGCGACCCAAGTCTACCCCGAGCGCAAATTACCCCACCCCGTCCCTCCAAAAAAAAAAGAAACAAAGACCCTTCTAATCCCTCTCCCACCCTTCCCCCTCTCAATCATTATAATCCCTCTCTCACCCACAATCTCCAACAAACAAAACAGCAAAGGAGTTGTGGTTTAGTGGTATAATTCTTGCTTAGGGATGGATCAGTACACCTGCATTCAACATTGTTGAAGCTGGATTGTCGCTGATTGTTCATGTAAGAGGTCCCCGGTTCGATCCCGGGCAACTCCCTGATTTTTCATTGTTTGGGGGGTTTTTTTTTATGTATTTTTTTTTTTTTTTTTTTTTTTTTTGGAGAGGAGGGAGCAATTTTTTTTGGAGGGTTTTGGAGAGGGGAAGAAGAGAGAGAGGGGAAGGAAGATTTGAGTGGGGGATGGATATGGAAATATGGGATTGGATTAGGTAATAATGATATGATGGTTGATGGTTGATGGTATATATGTAGGGTTGGTCAGTGAATGAAGGAATGCATTCTAAAGATTTGATTTCAAAAGCTTATATACCCGTGGACAGGTATATAGATATATAGAGGTACTTACATATATACACGCAACAAAAGATTACAAGAAAGTAAGTAAGTAGTCTATAATTGGAACTATAAATTATATTCATTTTGACACTATAACATAGGTATATATATACATGAAGAAAACTTTTTGGCCCCATTTTCCTTCCTTCCTACCTACATCATCCGTACCTATAATATAAAAATGCAAGCCAGCCAGCCATACGAAATTATATATATAGGTATACTGTATAGGTACCTATATAAAGGGGAAAGAATCGGTGATGATGTAACAATTACAGTAAAAATAAACCCGCCGTTATTTTTCAACCCCAACCCAATCCAATCCAACTCAAAACTCAACTCGATCAATTAATTAATACTCATCAGGTACAGGCGAACCGGGTTGACAAACCCCGGGGAAAGTCTTGAATTCTCCCACCCATTTAAACTTATCAAAGGTACCCGGAGCGGCAGGAGCCGCAACATCAATAGACTGTGTAGTGACGACGGCGCCCTCCAACGACGTAAGATCCACCTCTCTACCCCCCCTCTCAGCCCTCCATTCTAGATTCTCCCTTAAATATTTCACAATCGTCTCTTCATGCAGATCCTCCAGAGCGCCTTCTTGATGTTTCTCGAGAAGCGCATCGCTGAGATGCACATTGCTCGAGGTGATGACATCGTTGGGCGCCATCCGGTGTGAATATAGCGTCGTGTGCATCCCCACGAACGAGGGATCGCGCGCCCATGCTGAGGGCTGCGCAGTGCTTTTCCCGAGGAATACCGCGACGCTGTAACTGCTGTTGAGAGCCGTCCATGGAATGTCGATTTTCACAATGTAGTCGCGAGGAAGCGAGGGGTCGCTGGTCGGTTGGCGTCGGGAGAAACTCGATGCGGCGCGCCCGCCGTACAGTGCCGTGATGGTTTGCTTGAGTGTTCGGTTGCTGGGGTGATTGATTATTTCCGGGTACGAATACCCTAAGGTTTCGGGGTTGCGCACATCGGCGCTGGTGTAGAAGTTGCCGTTGGTGTTTTTGTGGAAGGGGGTTAATACTTGGTCGCGTTAGTATGTCGATATTCGGCGTGTGTGAATGCTATGCGTCGAGACTTACCGGAGTTTTGGTCTTCCACAGAACCCCTGGTGATAGTGAATGTGTCTGATGACTGGACTGCTGGGTCGACATAAGTATCCGGGTAGAGAGCCTGCCAAAGGGAGAGGAATTTGTCGACATTTGCGTGGTGGAACCAGAAGATCGGGTCGAAAGCAGCAACTGGAACGATGCTCCTGCGTGTCATTCACGTTAGTATTACTGTGAAGATCATTCTCCCCAGCATGAGGAGAGGGCACATCAAGGTAGGTATATAAAAAATGTAATATGCGGATAATACTAACATGTGACCCGAATAGGACGTGCCTCCCAGCAACACATGCACGACATCGTGAGTCGACTCTATCGAAAAATTAGCCCCATATTCCACGCAACTTTAATAATGTCCTTGTGCTCACCAATGTTTCCGTACCCGGAACGGCCAGACCCCTTGTTGCTGACATGGTTATAGGGCTGAAGAAGATCATTAGCATTGACCAATGAAAGATGAACGGGTCGATGTCTGCACGAATCAAACTTTTGGTGGATGCTTACTTGATAATTCGCAAATAAAACCATGAGCTGATTTCTGAAATTCCGGAAATTGGCTTCAAGTTGCATTTCCACTTGATCGTTCTGACTTGTAGCATCAGGAGCGTAGGATGTTGGCCGACGGAGTGTATTATTCCATGTAGCCACGGCGCCAGCGTTCTGTTTGAATAAAGTTAGTCAAGCCACTTGATGGAGAAATTCTTTCCCTACTTGAAAGTCTTCGGGATCCAAGGGGTGGAATCTATACGAATACAATGGATTGTCCACGGTTGCCTTGGTACCGTCAGGATATATGACAGACGCAGTTGGGTTGCTCAAGACGTGAGGGAGGATGGGTCCATTGTTGGGAGGATTCGCCGCCCAATCCCAGTATGGCAGCCTGAGAGTTGTAGCTGCCATGCGATACGCTTCTGAGTTATCCTCAAACTGCTGAGCAATTCGAACGCCCCAGTTATGAATTTGCTGCTCGTGAAGTGCGAGGTAAGGTCTGTGCCAAGGACCAAAAAGATTGGATCCGTGAGTACAGTATCCCATGTCTGCATTTCCGGAAGCTTGAACTCCATCCCACGGAATCAATGGAAACCCGTGAATACCTGATATATTCATCAGTATGAGGATTGCTTCGTCGTCGGGGCAATGGCGTTAAAACATACCGCCAATTTGGTAGTAAGATAACAATTCATCCTGATCGGTTCTTTGATATTCTATCATAGCCAACAAGAACAAGTTCCATTGAATAGGATCAGCTGCAAGTGTCCGAATCTCGAGACGGGGCTGTATGCCACCATCCCGAGTACCTGTGATAGCATAGGTACCTGCTCGAGCCTTCAAGTCCTCAGGCTTGGAGAGAGGCGAAGCTATGACAGACGTGATTAAGAATGCTAAGGCTCCGAGACTCTGGACGAGGTTTGGTGCCATGTTGAATTTCAACCCAGTGTAAATGTCTCAACTTTCAAAGACTGCAATTTGCAACAATGTGCTAGAGAAGCTGCCTCGACCAAGAACAAATCAGAGACGAACAGTCGGGATAGAATAATCACAAAATCAAGAGACTCCTTATATTCACAACAGATCGCTCAACACAGATGGACAAGGTGGGTAGGCTGCTCACGAAGCAAGCATGGAGTATGGCAGACCTGTCTATATGTATCTATTCTTTCGGGCCCAAAAGAAAGAATGCTGATGTGAAAGTCCAGGAACTTGCGTTCCTACCTAGGTACGCAATATTATCACAATCATCACAGATTAGTACCCGCTTTGGCTACAATCATTCTCGACACGGATATTTTTAGACTTTTCAACGCAGATTCTTACCCGTTCTGTAAAGGCTAATGGGATCATCTTCGAAACGGAAGAAAGCTTGGGACGTCATTTCTGTGCCTTTTAAATGCACCCCCCGTCATTGATTCAGTCTCTTATATGGACGAGAATTATATGTAATAGCTTTGGTAGAAGGTGGTGACTGAGGAACATCATCGAGAAAAGTAGAATGAAATATAACATCGATATAATCAACGCAGATAATGGCGGCTCCTTGACCTAGCTATAGAACAGCTTTCACGCAATATTTCCACCATCTGTGATATTTTGAGCAAGCCCCACACTACAATGTTTTCAACATGTAGATTGACAATGATGCCCCACGACTCCCCGAGAAAGTCGAAACAATTTCTTGGACCGGTACTTGTGGTCCTGGCCAAAAAAGTAAAGCAACCCGATATGCCAGAGGAACATCCTAGTTTCCAAGGGTTCTGAGTAATGTCACCTTAATCCTTTCTGCCCGCGCGGACAATGATAGTCTTCTCCCTCACGATTCACAAGCCCCAGGGTCCACCGCCATATGCTTTCAACGCTTTGGCGTATACGGTCGCGACGCTGATGTCGTCCTGAACTTGACATCCAATCTGATTCTGGACATGGATTGGCACATGCTATTATGTATACCAGTAACATCTCGACTGGCGACTGGTGGGTCGATTCTTGGCATCGCTGAGGTCAAGAATGGAGTTAACTTAATATAGTCTTATCCCACCGAACAGAGGTTCGGCGCTGAACCCTTTGTAGTACTGTATGGGTTTTCTCGCGTAAACCGGCTGGGGCCGATCAACTGGTCAAATGCACGATATCATTGGAAGATTGGGCAAGGTGGATAAGTTCGCTTCCCCACTTAGCGAGAAAATTAGGCGATCAAGGGTTCATGGTACCTAGGTACCTACTGGTGGCCGAATCGTCTGATCGCTGGTATCCGCAGACCCCGTGCTGAATAGGTACCAAACTTTCAAGATATATATATCAATCGATCTTCGAATGCATGCATGGATGCTTGGAATTCTTATAAAGGATTTTAGAATCCTCGTTGATCAAGATTCTAGAATGAGGAATTCTATCCTGGTTCCTACGCGTTACCACATGAACGCTCTTTGACAATTGGAATTTGGGTGAACTGCTTGTCTGCTTGAATGCTTGACTGCTTGATTTTCATCTCATCTCATCTCTTGATATTTCCACGGAAAAAGATTGGAATAATGGGTAAGTACACTCAATCATATTATCGGAACAAAAGCTAGGAAATCTCGACATCAAGTAGGCAAATTGGGATGAATTTTCCCCTTTCCCCAGATGCCTATTTCTCAAGTCAATTTCAATGACAATGCCATACATAGTAGTACCGGTACTGATCTGCGATCTGTTCAGGGATACCGTTATAATCTATAGAATAAGAAGTCTAAGAAGGCTTGAGGAGTTGGCGATACATTCTAAGCAATGCATACCAGACCACTGGTTGTAGGCGAGGTAGGTAGGTAGGTAGGTAATATTTTATCTAAAATAAGAGTGATAAATAAAGGTTAGAGTGATCTTTCTTGATTGATTGCACGTGATTAGTTGCAACAGCTGGATGCCAAATGTCAGGTGACATCGAAACCCGCACTTTCTTGCCATCGGTCGGAGAAATCTCGAAAATAATCCGATGTTTTCAAACCCAGTAGGTACCTAAAGATTGACTACCTACATACGGAGAGTACAACCAAACATCCATCCATGATTTTCTTTTCTCACTACACGCCATCTAGCCAATACAAACG